GTATTCTACAAATTAATTTAATGGTTTTAATAATCAGGATTTTTGCTTGAGAAACATTTCTGTGAGTCTTGTTAAAGCTTATTTGAACACCACTTGAATCACTGCTTGTTTTTAGGTTTGAGTAGTTTTAAATGTTAGATTTTTATTCCCTAAATGAGAATTTCCATCTGAATCTTCAAACAGGGATTGCTTTGAGCACTGTTTACTGCAGATAGAATATYGACTGCTCATAAAGTAGAAACCCGTTTTAAATAAACCTGAATCGTCTCTTTAAATGGAGCCTGCACTGAGTGGGAGAACAAACACTATTAGGAAGAATATTAAGCAGAGATCAATCTCCTGTGTCCTGAAGAACAAGAAGTTATTATAAGAAGTAAAACTAGGTTTGGTTACATCGCTGAAGGTGACATATTCCTGTCAACAAGSGACTCAAAATTTTAAATATCAGTGCTATTTTAGGTACAAATCAGTGGTATTTGGATTGATAAACAGCATAGGTTTCTGTGCAGTACAGCTGACCTGCCTTAACCAAACAAAAGCCAGGCTGGGTCACAGAGGACACAGGAGGATCTAGAATAAAAGGTTTTTAATTCAAACTACAGCGTGATGACGAGAAGAGATGCARCGTCATCAGGGTGACGCTCCTGTCTGCTGCTGATGGCAGATAGGATGATGCTGTGATGCAGAGGGGACCATCAGGGACAGCGCGACGTGACGTCTGTTGTTTGCAGTGTTACGTGGTTCTGCTGTGACTGGAGCCACTGTGGTGCGGCCCTGTTAAATAACGGAGTTAATGTTTACAGTTTCTCTGYGTGAAAGTCAGCRTTTGGTGACATGTGAGCTGTGATCTGACACAGTTCTTCATCAGGAGGAGAGAGTGCGACGATGACACACGGAGCCRAATGAATCACAAATCGTGTCAGAAGAGGCTGGAAGCATGATGGTTCTGTAATTTCACATATTCCTCGGTGACACAGGWTGTTGAGAACATCCAGGTTAGAGTGATTCAGTGTGACAAAGGTGTGGACTCATCTGACACAAACACAATCCTGCAGATTTACAATGGGCCTTATCTAAATAAGTGATTTGCATTTTCCACCAGTTCAAATTTGGCAGTTGTTTGCAATTATTCTGCTTGTTTGTTCTTTGTTTCTATTTTATTTCCAGCATTTCACTCATGTTGTATTTAACAGACTTTTTTTTTATTCACTAAAAAGCACAGTTTTTTGACTGCTTTGCCTTTTGCATCTAAACAGCACAAACAAGTACAAAACGTTGTTTGGTTGATTATATTCTTTTTGTAAATCTGATATTGTTGGAAAGCCTGTATATTTCCCTTTAAAGCATGTTACATTAGTTTCTAAAATGTGTTTGTAGGTTAAGCAGCAAAACTGAGTTTGTGGGTTGTGCAAATGAAAAACTTTACCAAGAGCTTTCCCACAATGCCAAATAGTTTGTTCTGCAACTGTCTCTTGTTATGTGTTGTTTATTGGATTGGATGATGAAAGTCTGAAGAAAAAAGGCAATCCAATATTCTAATAATTTAACAAACAGGGGTCTCAGTAGCATGTGGAAGAACCATACACAGCCACAACAGAGGCCAGCACTGCAGGTAGGCCTTTCCATCTTCTCTACTCCCATTTAGTCTGTTATTGTTGTTGTTTTAATTTATTCCCATTATGTATTTCATTTTTAGAATGGTTTGTAGACAAATGGTTGTCAAACGACCCAAATGCAGAAGAAGAAGGCAGCAAAAGCAAGTTCATTTGGACTGGAACAAAAAGTGTTTGCATCTTAATTAAACTAATTCATGAACAACACAACAGTAACACACAAAAAAAAACTGTAAATCTGTTATAACTTTACGGCTGTCATTTGGTTTGCATCTGATTCTTATATTAAAGGTAAATGAGGTCATAATAAGGAAAAACTTRAACCAATGAAGTAAATAAAACCTTTATAACGTCAGACGTCTTGAATCTAAAATGAACTTTATAACAWTTATTAAAACACTTCCTAAATGTTTCAAGTTACTAACTGAACCTTTTAGCAATTTTCAACCATACGACCGGGTCATTCATCCACCTGAAAAGTATAAACAAAACAAACACGGGAAACAGAAAAAAGGTGACTGTAAGTCATTTTATTCTGAGCTGAAAACTTATTTTCTCTAAAATCATTTTTGTATTTTTAAAAAAAGGCTTTAAATTCACTAACATCTTCACTGTTAGTACAGAGCAAATATTTATTCTGTCTATTTTAAATCACATCTTGATTAAAATTAACATTAAACACATCAGCCATGAAAGATCTACAAATATCAAATCCAAACAAATCATTGCACTTATCAGGCAGGAGCCAAAGTCATTACAGGTCTAAAAAAAGTTTTATAAAAGCCCATCAGCATCTGTCACTTAAATCCAATTATGAGTTGTTAGAAGAGGTTTGTGTTTAAWACCAAAGTGTGAACAGAGAGCTAAATATCTGTTCAACTTTAGACATAAGCTATAAAATAAGTATATTATAGAGCAAAACTAATGCTCTTCCTACCTTGCTCTTATTAATAAATTACACAAACATCTAAAGAAGCAGTTTGTTTGCTTTTTTCTGCTAAAGACACTGAGTAAAAGCAATTTTTAAATAAAGGTTAATTTAAAAAGGCCAAACACACTAAATATATTACTGCTGCAAAGCACAGTGAGAATATCATGCAACACAGCTGCCTTTCTCTTCTTTRTAAGATTTGTTAGCAACAACAACTAGTATTAACTATCTGAGCCGGCTGAACATCTTAAACAGGACATTTTTCCAGAGACTCTCTGTTTGACAGCGAGTCTTTGGAGGCTGAACGACGCTGCTCCTCGTGTGCCGTGATGAAGTTAAGCAGGTCGATCGCTGTCGCAACGCCGAACAGCATCTGCCTCTCGCAGGATGCTCCATCAGCTTCATCTGAACAAAAATACAACACAACACTTAAATTTAGGGTTAAAAACACAGAAGGGTTTGGAATAGCAAGAATGTATATATTCTCTGTTTCACTGAAAACCAGAATAACACAGTTATTGGTTTAAATGGAGAACCAGTTGAGTTAAAGAACATGTAAGAAGAAGATAAAGTGCAGTCATGAAGAACTGACCKGTTGATGATACCAGCTGATCCAAATTATTTTATGATCAGAGTAACTCCCAAGTACAACTCAACATTTCTTTGGTGGAAGTGGTCTTGATAAAAAAAATAAGATCCACTGTGGAGCCAGAGTTTGATTACATTTTCTCCATCATGGACAACTTACTGTTATATGGCTGGACAGATGGAGACAATCTAGGAATCAAAGAGTTTGACATTTCTGTGTTTCTGGGAGGTCAAGCTGGAACCTAAACAAGGTTTAAACAAGGGGTCACCTGTGACCTTGACCTTTGACCACTGACCCACTGACCTTGGGGTCGTCCTTGACCCAAGAAGTGTCCAGCTGTGGAGTTTATCACTCTCATGTTAAAGGTTATCAGTTTAGAACTCAGAGAGGAAACTGTTCACAGGCAGATGGATGGACCATAATCTGTCCAGTCTTGTAGGACAATGCATCTAAACATGAATTCATTTCTTTTAAAAATGAAAATCATGGCTATGTTAGTGCTTTTGGCCTAAATTTTTAGAATTTTTTTCTGGGATAACAATAACTAACTACAGAAATGCAATCTCTGATTGTATTTCTCTCTTCTTCTTTTTTTTTCTATTGTTGTATTTTGGACTTTAGGTTTGCTGCTGGAGCCATCTTTAAAAATATTATAAGAGTAAGAGCGCCTCCTGCTGGACAAAGTTAGAAGTTATGCATAAAAACAATTTAGTTCTAAACAAGTTTTTAAATCTTAACTTTGAATAGTTTGTATTAATGTTTGTTGAGAAAACAAGTGAAGACCATAGTTTTTCTGACTTTGATTAAYGGGTAATGTTTAGGGTTAATGAAGCTGACCACACTGTAACATGTCAGGGAGTAGAAACACATCAAACAACAGTTCAGCTGAGTGTGAGCAGTCATCACTCTGACTTTATTTGGGCTGTAAATGCAGTTTTTATAATCACTGACTCCTTCCTCTTCTCTGCTATTTGCTTAGTAGTCTAGTTTTTGCTAGATGTTCCCAAATATGCAGAGGTTGTGCCACATCCAAACAACCAGATATTCAATGTAAATAAATGTTTTGATATTGAAGTTTGTTTTAAGACAGCAGCAGTCCTTTTTGGTCTTTTCTCTGCTCAGCTGTTAGCTCATTAAGCTAGTCTGAAATTCTCCAAACTAAGAGCTACCTACAACAGGTAAGA